TTAGGGTGGGAAATAGCTGGAGTTTGCTGAGGTCGTTGTAGAGCCCGGCCAGAATAACAGGACCCCGGGGATTGGACCCGGGAGGCTTGTGTGACCGCCCTGCACTGCTGCTGCGTTTACCCAGATTGGAAGGGGTAAACCGAGGCTCGCTTCCTCTTGTGGCAACTGTCTATGGAAAGAACTCCTTCACTCCCAGCAGATTTTTTCTAAATAGCCTTCTTCCTCCCGGGGTGGGGTGGGGTTCCTTGCTCTGACCCAGAGGTGAGAAATGTCACCTCCACTTCCATCTGTCTGACCTGAGGTATTGTGGGAGATAAGGGAGGGATGGAAGCTAATTCTGGAGGTGTCTGTCCTTGAGCCTGGGAGAGGGCAGGGGCAGGCAGGCAATTCCCTCCTCTCTCCACCTCTGGGCCCTTACACTGGTGATTAAGAAGTCCGGGTGGGGAGGGGACCAAGGATCTGAAGAGCGTAAGGGGTTAATGCCAGGAAGAACACTGGTGACAATCTGAAATGAAATTTAAAAAATAATAGTCACAGCTGCCAACACAGATGTGTCCTGCCAGGTTCAGGTCAGATGGATCTCTCTGTCCACAGAAGTGTTTGGCAATCACCCAAAGGAAGGAACAGCCAGTTCCCCTTCAGTGGAGTTAGTTGACCCCGGGGAGGACTCCTCCCTAGCAATGGGGAAACTGAGGCCGGCAAACCGCCACCACCCACACCCTGGGATCTTGCCAGTTTCTGTCTGGAATCTTCCAAGGCTCTCACCCTGCATTACTCAGGATAACCGCTGTTGCGGGTGGGAAATTTAGGGTCTGAGGTCCAAAGGCTCAGGCAGTTGAACCACAGGCAATAGAACCCAGAGCTCTTCAGAAGGGGTTGGCATGTGGGCTCAGAGGGTAGAGCGCTGGCTTGTCTAGCATGCAGGAATCCCTGGGGTTCAGTCCCCAGAACTGAATAAAGCAGACTGTCATGTTACATGCCAGTATTTCTAGCACTGGGGAGATGGGGGCAGGAGGATTGGAAATTTAAGTTTAGCATGGGTGCTGGGTGGTGGTGGCACATACCTTTAATCCCAGCACTGGGGTGGGGGGGACCCCATAGGCAGGCAGATCTCTGGGTTCAAGGTTAGCCTTGATCTACAGAGTGAGTTTCAGGACGGTTCAGACTACACTAAGAGACCCTGTCTCGAACCCCCCGTTGAGTGAACAACCAGCAGTCAATAGGGCTAAGGTCTCTATTTGGATACACCAGCCAAGCGCAAAAAAGCATAGCACAGGCTACGAGAGAAAATAAAGACAAAATACAAACAACCACTGTGGGGCGTGGTGGCACACACCTTTAATCCCAGCACTAAGGAGGCAGAGACAGGCGGATCTCTGAGGCCAGCCTGGTCTACATAAATCCAGAGAAGCCAAGGCTACTACGTAAATAAACCAACTAACCAAGAGCCCTCACAAAGGAATCTCTGGGAGAATCTGCAGAGCCTGGGTTTTCGTCCCTGGATTTGAGCCTGCCCATGTGTGGTGTGACTGATCCCCCTGGCCTCAAGGGGCTGAACCCAAGCCACGTGCAAGCTACATAAGCAAACTATTTCTGGGAGCTGAAGTTCAGCTCTTGTTTGAGGCAGAATGTCACTTATGTAGCCCAGGGTGGCCTTGAACTAGTGCTGGGGTGGCAGAACCATCTAGGGAACCATGGAGGAAGGCTGGTAGAATAACAGTCCAGGATTCGAGACATTCGGTCCTTCAATTGTACTGTTGTAAACACTGTATAATTTAGGTCTTCCCAAGCTCAGACCTCATCTCGGTGAAGGCATTAGTCCTCACACACACACACACACACTGTGCACATGAGAAAACAAGGGACAAAGAAGCCGTCATGGTAACTAGCTCAAGGCAGAGGCTTAGCTAGGGGAAGTCCCTAGCCCATTCCACAGAGGCAAACATCAAGTCTGACCCGGCTACAGTGAAGGATTTCATTTTGGGTGTGCCCTACCCATCCCAGTGCCCTGACCTGGATCCCACTGAGTCCTCCAGGAAGCCCCAGAAGGATCCTTCAGCTCTGAGAACCTGGCTGGGGTGCAGAGGAGGCGGGCAAGGAAACCAAAGGGTGGAGCAGTGGTGGGAGCCAGTTGAAAGGGGAGCTATAGAGTTGGAGGGGAGCCCAAGGAAGAAGACTTGAGGGTGGAGGGCAGGAACAGGAGCATGGGAACAGAGGCGCTGCCTCGCCTGGCCCGCCCTGCTCCCTGGCCTGGGGAGCTGTGCACCTGCCCGGGCCCGCCTCGCATTCCCGGAGCCTGAGCTCAACCATTGCACCCGCCGGGAACGCGCGCCCCCTGGCGGTCGGTGCTCCTACCCTGCTGTTAGAACCCAGTTGATAATGATGCATTTACCAAAAGATCCCTTTCCTGTCGGGCACTAGGAAGGGAATTTCTGTCCTCTGGAGGAACAGGCTCTTACCTGCTGAGCCATGTCTCAGCCCTCTATGCACACAGGAGTGCCGGTACCCTAAGAGGACCAGGCTGCAGCTGGGGACTGGAACTTTGGTCCTCCACATTCTAAACGGTGGAGCCTGGAGACGGGATCCTTCTGTGTGGCTCTGGCTGGCCTGGAGCATGAGATGTAAACAAGCCTGGCTATCTTCAGGCCTCTGCCTTTGGATTACACTCGCGTGCGTGTGTGGCCAGGCCTGACTGTGCTCTCCTTTCTGAGGCCCAGATTCTCTGTCCCTGATTTCTTCTCGTGTCTTCTGTCCAGATAGATCTTTGCACTGCTCCAGTGTGGTAACCTGTTTACCTTTGTTGTACAAGTTAAGCAGCTGAGGCACTGTTGTTGGGGCATTCCAAGGGTCACATCTCCAGCTCTGGTTTCTGGCTTGTGGTAGTTTCCAGGAGAGTGCAATTCTGGGACAGACAGAAAGTACAGCAGAAAAACTGGAAATTGTGAGCAAAACAAATTAAAGAATTATAGAATAGAGATAGAAAAGAAGGATAGAGTCTTGGACTTGGAGCCTATTTTTCTACTAGGGATTGAGCATAGGGCCTCAATCACAATAGACAGAGCTCCATT